TATGAGTGGTTCTGAAGGCAATTGAAACTGCCACCCAGCGTAGCTCACTGGGTCACAGGGGTACACAGACCATCGCACCACGTTACGGTTTAGTCTCGTTATGATATCGGAATACTGCTGGACAACTTACCCGCTGGAAGTTGAAAATATGCAGTACACCGGTGTGACGTGCTGAGGCTTCTTTACCACAGGAACAGCCGGCGGCGTGTGGACTGGTGTACAAGGCTGTTCACACTTACGCAGATTTCGGACCGGTAACCGTAGGATTGCAAAAATAGGCGTCTAATCCTTTTGCTCACCTAGCCTATACCCAAAGGACGCAATTAGTGACCTGTAGATAACGTCACTCTAAGGCTGGCGGTAGCTTGTTGTACTCAAGTCAAGTCGTCCATTCTTGTGGGTGTTTTGCACATCACCTTCGACCGTTGTGTTAGCAATCTACATAAACCTTTCAGATACACACAACAACGCGGACACTAGTACAAATTTGTAGTGCTGGGTTTGAAGCAGGTCGCTTACCAACTCTGCTTCGAACGGAGAGTGGTAAATATATGGAGCAACTTGTTGCCGCACAAAGTCAAAGCAAAGTCGGCGTGGGAATGCAAAAATTCATTGACAATCACTGCCGATTTTCGATGTGGCTACATAGAGGTATCACTTCTTGCTGCTTCTGTCCAGTAATCAGCACTCATTCTGCTCATTTTTATTCATTTGAAGCACCAGGTGTGTGAATGGATTGCTATACGCAATCACAGTACGGACCGCGCTGTGTTTCGAAGTGAGCTCCGGTCAGTTTGGCCATTAGTTCCGTATCTGAGGCAGCTAAATGCTTTTCACTCATTCCGTCACTTAACCACAACACCGAATGAAATACACCTGGATGTGTTTACTGAATGACAACGTATAGCTGTTCACCGGTGAACATGTGTCTGAAGTAACTTGCTGCCTGAGGGCTAGAAGCACATACCAAATAATACCGATTTCTGCGTCAGCTTTTTGGGGCCTGCTGCGTAGGACCGTGTCCGATTTCAGATGAGCTGCATCTGGGCGGTCAGCACGGTGTAGGCTCCCGTAATGATAACGGTGAGCGGTTACTTCATTTGTGTGAGGATGCTCGTTTATTTCTTGCGAGCACTAATTTCAGACACAGTACCCGCAGAAGTGTGACTTGGCGCCCACCAGCCTCGAACCAGCTATGGACACAGATCGATCACATTGCGATAAGTTACCGATGGAGAGGCTGCGTCCAAAACTGTCGCTCGATTTGGAGCACAGGTGTGGACACCGACCATGCACTTGTATGTGCTGACATTCGGATGCGTTTTGGCGGACGCCCACGGCGACGTTGTGAGCGCATTGACACCAGCCAACTGGCGAAGCCAGCTGTTCTGAATGCCTATCAAATTACGCTGTCATGCGAGTTGGATAAGCGCTCACTGGTCTCATATTCACCAGACCTTACTAGCAGCAGGAAAATCCTCATGTGGTGTGTCTAATCGCCAACATGGACATTGGGTCTCTTCACAGTCTCTGGAACTTATCAATGCTCACCGGCATATTCCGGCTGGAAGCGAACACAATGAAACTCGCAAAGAGCTCCGGACAAAACTCCGTGCTAGCCTGAAGAGAGACCGCGAATCCTGGTGGTCTAATCGTGCAACAGAGATGGAGATGGCCGCTGCCCTTGGTAACCATCGTAAGTTATTTCGTCTGATACGGGAAACGGGCAGCAGGAGACCTGGTGTTAGTGAAACTATACGTGACGAGAGTGGACAGCCTATCCACAGCTTATCAAAACATTTGGACCGTTGGGCTGAGCACTTTAAAAGGCAATTTAATCGGTCGGAATGGTTAGATTTCTCACCGGCCACTGATCGCCCCACTCCCTGGGCTGTCCCTTTGAATCCATCCTGTCGCTCAGAAGTCGAACGTGAGATCGGACTGTTGAAGTTAAGTAAATCCGCGGGACCAAATGATCTTCCTCCAGCCCTTTTCAAATTCGGGGGACCTGCTCTTATGGATGATTTATACGAGTTACTAGTCAAACTGCAGGAGCAGGAAACTGTCTCAACCGATTGAAGCCGCTCCGTCATAGTCCCAATTTTCAAAGGAGACTCACGATCGGAATGCGGCAGCCATAGAGGAATCAGTCTGGTCTCCATCGCCTCAAAATTGCTTGCCTCTGTCATCCTTCACAGACTGACTGGCACTCGTGAAAGCCAGATTCGTGAAGAGCAAGCTGGATTTCGTCGAGGTCGTGGCTGCATTGACCACATCTTCACTTTGCGTCAGTTGTTGGAGCACCGCCACATATATTAGCGGCCCACCATTGTCGTGTTCCTCGATATCAAAGGTGCATTCGATTCGGTGGATAGACATGCACTTTGGGACTGTCTACTCAGGAAAGGTGTGCCCGAGAAATATGTGAATATTATCCGAGCATTATATGCTCGTAGCTCGGGCAAAGTGAGGGCTTACGGCAAGCTGTCGTCGCCCTTTATTATCTCCAGCGGCGTGAGACAAGGATGCCCGCTATCACCTCTCCTCTTCAACTTCGCTATTGATGAAGTCATGGAAATCGCTTTCACAGGACACGACTTAGAAGGTGTGGATCAGTTCCCAGGAGAACGACTACTTGACTTAGAGTATGCTGATGATATTGCCCTAATCTGTGACAGCTCACAAATGTGCCAAGCGGCACTGGACAGCTTAGCACTAGCTGTCCGTCACTTCGGACTTTGCTTCGCACCCTCGAAGTGCAAAGCGTTTCTCCAAGATTGGTCTGGACCGCCTCCGACGCTGACCGTTGGTGGGGATCAGCTAGAAGTCGTTCAAAAATTCAACTACCTGGGAAGTTGTATCAGCGCCCGTGGAATTGAAGATGAAATCACGAATCGTATAGCAAAAGCTCGGGGCGCTTTTGCTAACCTTCGCCACTTATGGCGCCGGCGCGACATCACTCTTGCCCTGAAGGGTAGAGTGTACAATGCAGCAGTACGTTCGACCCTACTGTACGGTTGTGAAACCTGGCCGCTTAAAGCAGCGGACCTGAAGAGGCTAGTTACGTTCGACCACCGGTGCCTTCGTAATTTAGCTCACATCTGGTGGGAACACCGCGTGAGCAGCGAGCGTGTCCGACGCCTTGTTTATGGCACAGGAAAAGGAACTGAACCGCTCAGCACCGTTATTTCACGCACCAGCCTCCAATGACTCGGCCATTTGTTACGCATTCCAGGCCACCGACTCCCACGACGAGCGTTGTTTGCGCGCCGGGAGTGTGGATGGAAGAAGAGGATGGGTGGCCAAGCGATGACTTGGTCCAGAGGAATGAAGGCCCTCACTTCTGAGCTGGCCTCAGTTGGAGCGTCTCGGCTCCCTGGTTGGAGTCCGAAAGACGATGAACACGTTTGGTTGGACACACTTGCTGACATGGCTAGGAGCCGACCTCAGTGGCGTTCGTGCTGTGAGTTTCTTTGTCCCACCCCATCCCTCTTAGCCTCCCCCTCCAACCACGATCTCATTATTTAACCTTATATAATTTTGCACAGTAATTTTTTTTGGTGCATAGTAGCCGGCTGGTAGTTTACCGGAACGACGCCCATCCGTTACCGGTTGCTCAGCCGGCTTGCCCCAGTTGAATTCTTCTTTTCTCCTTTTTTCTGTGTATTGCGGCACAGTAGCTGAGGTGTTCCCCACCTCTAGCTAACGTGTATGATGATAATGATGCCCGATTTTAGTAAAGCGTCGTCGTTCGCGTTTTTCGGTTAGGCTCTGCCCCAAATGAACTGGTTAGAGCTCGATCATTTGAGACCAACTGCACTGTTAAAAGCATCAGGAGTACGCCGGTTCACGGGACCAACGCTTTGCTACCGCGCAACCACTGACAGTCGCGCGTTTGCTAAGGATACTGGGAGGGTCGCCCGGTTTCCTTGCTGGCTCGAACCCGCGCCCTTGGGTTATAAGGCAGGCTTGTGATCCTTTAGGCTACGGGCGGGCAAGTTAAAGATGAATTAAAATAAGCTTCATCGATGCAGTGTGGTAATCAGGGTGGGCTCCAAAATGAGCCTATCGTTAGCTCTGGAAAAGCTTCAAGATCCACGATGCAGTGATTTGGTAGAGGCAAACTTCACTTCATATAGTTTGGGGAAATCGAATTGATCATAGGAAATTATTTCTGTTGGTGAGTTCCCAAACTGTGCCGATCCATCTTGTGTCGAGCTTGGTAATCATCCTAGCTTATGTTACTTTGTGTCCCTTTTGATTGAACATAACAGGTGAATTTGTACCGGTTGCTTAGACTAGGCAAGTGGTAGGTCATTTTGACATACTTTCTATATGATTGGATTGCGACGCACAATGGATTGGAGTTGACCTGCATTGTATCACGTGCAACAGATTGTAATCACACTCGTTACACCACTGGACTCACCAATGTAAACAATTATGCTTCCATGGTATTATGGTCATTAATTATTTTATGACCAAACGGAGCTTAAGAGCGCCTTCCTTTCTTGTCTGTGGCTTTATGTGAAAAATTTGGTCCGTTGATACAAGTCTGTCAAATAAACGTCGCCATTTAAGACGATATGTAACGCGCCTGGGCCGATGACAAAATGTTATCCATCGCAATTTGGCGGGGCACACTTCACATGCTTATTCTCCAGCAAGGGAAAATATTCAATATTTGATTTTCCTTTTCATTAGTTTACTTGGTTTAAAAGTATTTCCGTACATCATACGTGTAACGAACTGGTTGTCTAGACTATTCATATCTTTGCTCTTTCGGCTGTTATCTTACTTGCTCCAGGTTCGACAACGCAGAATTTCAACTATACTTTTTATAATGAAAGTTATTCTTACACCTATCGGGATCCTGCCCACAAATTAACTCTACGATTGCCTACATACATTACATGTATTTCCAGTCAAAGCATTGCTGACTTAGTTTACAACGACTTAAACGCCACAACCAATCCTCTACTTTTCATTGATTTCTGTAGATGCCATCATCCGCCATCTGGACAATGTATCCACTGCGTTCCTTTGGAGGTTAGTTCTCTTTCGTGCTGTTTTACTTCGTTTGCTATAGGTTGTCCCATTTTTGCCTACTGCTTTGCAGTGGAATTTGGCCCTCTCAGACTAGTCGTCGTAATAGTGATAAAATGTGAGGGTATATCCGATCACCCTTGCATCGACTTGATTATGGGCCATCGCTTGATCACAGGGGTTTCGGCCTTCGTCACCTTCTATGGCACATGCAATGCCGGTGCACTTATTTTCACACATTTGGTCCAATTTAACAAATGCTTCTGCATCTAAATCGAACTATCTTCCCAGTGAAAAGCGGTTTTTTCAACTTGCACTCTTATTCTACGGTCGATGCCAAATGCAATTGTAACGATCTGCCGTAGCCTGTACACCTCTGTGGGGATTGAACAACCACCAATCACTCACGGTGAGTTCCTCCAAAACTAGTTTACTAGCCCACTTAAGAGGCGGTAATCAGACGGACGCCATTTGTTATCAATCCTCCATGAAAACTGGGGTTGAGGCGGCCCGTTACCTATTCATTTGGGCTAATCATCATGTGACCATGTGTTCCTTACCGTTGCTTGCTTGCAACAATCCACTCTACGACGGGTTTCATACATTTCTACACTCATCAGTTAAAGACAGCACACCATGGACTCGAACCCGCGGTGTGAGGACCTGTTCAGCTGCTTTCTTTTTTTCTCTGCTTCACCGAGCCGCGGGCAACGTTTATCACACAACAGTTACTGACGAGTGCAGACAACTACTAGATCGATTTTAGATGGAGGAACTACGACAGCATACCAGTTAAAATTTATATACCTAGGTACTATTTACAATAAAGCAGACCTTTCTAATTCATTACTTTTCTTGTCTTACATTTTTGTGTCTGACTGTCAAATACTCGCTTCGTATCGTCATTGTCCTCACGTTATTCTCCTAAATTTATGACTCTGTAGCCATATGATGCAGCCTACTTGGAACACTTGGATCCCCCAGTGAAGTTCATGTCATTCCATGCTTACTTACGCAAATTGAGCGGCGGTCAAGGCAAGTAAGTGCACCTATCAGGCAATGTTTTCACTTTCGCGACTGGCTAAGGTGGTAATAGTTTATCTAAAGTGTATGATATGGTGTTGCATTCTTGACGCTTCTTCACCGCAGTTGGGCTAAACCAATTTACATTTAAACTAGGTCTCTTTAAGCTGGATAAATTTCCTTCCACTTAATTTGCTTTGTTCTGCCTACCTGAATAATTTTCTGTTAACTGGCCACGTTTCTTACGCTAGTTGCGCTTATCGGTAACTTTGTTGCGTTTGTAGCATTTTTAAGTAACTTGTGGACATTTTTCCCTATCGCGGATTCGTTACTAACCAACTTACTTCATATGCCAATTTAGCGAAGAGTTATGCCACCGTCTACATCCATTATTGGATTTATCTTATTTTATCTTGTCGTTTCAAGTGATTGTCTGTTGCTTGATATCCCCGGTGTGACTGTGCTTGATATGCATGTTGACAAGGTGTCTATCTGTTTAGTACCCACTACCTCCTTCATACTGGCTCCAGGAGACAGTTGGTCGTTGCAGGAGGGGACGGGGTGCACGGTCCTTGTGGCCTTGCTAGGCTCGAAGAGCGCTTCTATGCACTCAGTGTGCGGCGGACTACGGTCCAGCCACCGCCTTGTGTGTGCGCTTGATTCCCCATGTGCAGCGTGCTTGTGTTTGCCTGTGAAGGAGTGTGGGCCGGCTCCGTTGATGAAACGTGGCTCCCATCCACATGCTTCCCGGTCTTATTCCTTCGGGTTTACACTGGATATGGAGTGTGTGGTTGAAGCTGTGCGTGGTGCAGCGCAAGCCACCCATGGTCTCTCTGTATGTGCAGGCGTCCTGTGGCTGGCCACAGTGAGAGGCAAATCCGAAACCGGATGCCGCCAACCATGATATGGTGTTCGGTGGAGCGTCGCCCACTCGGTACGAACTTGGTGCGTGACATTTTGAGGACTCGAAATTAGTCTATTTGTCCCCTTATGGTTGGCGGCATCCGGTTTCGGATTTGCCTCTCACTGTGGCCAGCCACAGGACGCCTGCGCCTACAGAGGGACCATGCGTGGCTTGCGCTGCACCACCCACAGCTTCAACCACACACCCCATGTGCAGTGTAAACCCGAAGGAATAAGACCGAGAAGCATGTGGATGGGAACCACGTTCCATCAACGGAGCCGGCCCACACTCCTTCACAGGCAAACACAGGCACGCTGTATTTGGGGAATCAAGCGCACACACAAGGCGGTGGCTGGACCGTACTTCACTCCACACTAAGTGCATGGAATCACTCTTTGATCCTAACACGGCCACAAGAACCGTGCACCCCGTCCCCTCCTGCAACGACCTACTGTCTCCGAGAGCCAGTATGGACGAGGTAGTGGGTAATAGACAGGTAGGCATCTTGTCAACATGCACATCAAGCGCAGCCACACCGGGGATATCGAGCAACAGCCAATCACTTGAGAGAAAGATATTAAATAACATAAATCGGGTAATGCATAAGGAAACGCTGACATATATCTTAAATTAGTGAGCATATGAAATAAGTTGTTAACCAACGAATCGGAGATGAGTTAACGAGGTCAGAAAGTATATTTTACGGAAACGCTACAAACAGGAAGATGTTATCGAAATTAACTACAATTAGCTTAAGCGACGTGTGCAAGTTTATAGAAGAGCGTACAGGTAGACATTTATATGAGAAAGAAAAGCATTAGAACAAATTTGGAAACCCACCACCTGAAATAAATAGACTTTGCATGCAAGCACGCGGTTAGTAAATTGAATGCAGCGTACCTACAAACGCTGCGCTGGTTCTGCCTATGTTCTCTGCAGAACCCGTCGTCGCTTTGGTAGTGGTCCCGAGTGGCCTCGCTCATGGCTCACTAGGCCTGCGTGACGCGCGCACTCGCGACGGCATGTGCTACAGAATCATGCGCTTGATGTCGATGGAGTACAACCCATCGATGCTTGCCGCTTCTTCGCTGCATGTATGAGGTCATTCTCCCGCACTTCGGCAACTGCCTTCGTGATTAGATCGCGCCATGCAGGCCGATCAACCGCCTTCGATTCCCATGATCTGCAATCAAGATTAGAACGTGAGAGGCTCACTTTAATCATGTCCTGCTAACGTAACTTTGGTTTCCCCACATATCGCTTCCCAATACTCAGTTGACCATATAAGATTTGTTTCGGTATCCGCGTCGAATCCATACGGCTCACATGACCGAGCCACCTCAGTTATCTCAGCAAAAGTATGCAGTCCACTGCATACATCCCACTTTGTCGCACCACTTCCGTGTCAGCAACTCTGTCGCCCCAACCGATGCGCAAAATCCGTCGCAAACACTGCTGATGGAACCGCTCGAGATATGGCACATTCCACCGGTACATCGTCCACGTTTCACTGCCGTTTAGAAGAACGGACGGCACCATGGATTTGTACACCATCAGCTTCGTGCCAATGGTAAGCTGATGGTTGTTCCACACTGGGTACTCACGCTTCCCGAATGGCGACGCTGCCTTCGACACGCGGATACGAAGCTCACTGTGTATCTGCTGATCAGTCGACATCACACTCCCAAGGTAGCAGAAGCTGGAGGTGGTTTCCAATACTTCTGCACCAATGCTGATTCGCGGCAATATTGGATATTGCACTTCCGGTGAAGGCTGAAAGAGACAGACAGTTTGGCTTGTGTTGATAGTGAGCCCGAATTTGGCCGCTGTCGAAGCCAGAGCACTAGTCATGTGCTGCAACTCATCCACGCTGTATGCAAACAACGCACAGTAGTCAGCAAACAGCAACATACGGATAGTTGTCTCACAGACCAGAGTTCTCACACCGAAACGACGGATGTTCAACAACCCACCATCAATACGGTGCTCCACACGAACACTGTGAGCGCAAGCGGCATCAAAAGCACAAGACATCAATGCATGAAGATATATATCAAACAGGACAAGAGTTAAGACACAGCCTTGCTTCACACCAGAGACAACTGCAAAGTCATCCGAGGTCTCTCCACTCAGCTGTACCCTCACTCGCATACCACTGTGCAGACATTCAAGTAAAGTTACAAATTTACGCGGGCAACCAAACTTACCCAACACCAGCCACAATGCATCGCGGTTCACCGCATCAAACGCTTTGGTGAAATCAACAAAAAGCGAGTACAACAGCAGGTGTCGTTCTCTGCACTTCTCCTACAACTGACGAGCCGCAAACACCATATCTATGGTGCTGCGACCCGAACGGAATCCACATTGCTCTTCGGCCATGTTAGGTTCCACAACCTGACTGACGAGGCGGTTGAGCAGGATTCGGGCAATCACCTTGCCCACACAACTCAGCAAGTTGATGCCATGATAATTCGTGCAACCTGCTTGCTCCCTTTACCCTTGTACAGTGGTAGCACAAGGGCATCCTTCAGCTCAGGAGGCACCTCCTCCTTAATCCATGCACGTTGCACCCAATGATGCATCGCAGTCAACAACGCGGGTCAGCCGTGTTTCAATACTTCATTCGGGATCCCGTCGGCTCCGGCACACTTACCGTTTCGTAGCTGAGCAAGTGCTCTCTGCGTCTCATCAAGTGTCGGCGTGTCCGCCTGACTCGTTTTCACATCGTGCTTCTTCAGGCAGTTCAATGTAGACCAGTCGATCTCTGAACGGTTGTTCAAGAGACAGTCGAAGTGTTTTTGCCAGATCTGCATTAGCTCTGCAGTCTGTGCGCAGGTAGCGCCTGAACTACCATCGATCAGCGTTTTTAGCGGCTCCAATCTCGGTCCATACACCGGCTTCTAGGAGTCAAAGAATTCCTTGTGTTGGCGGCGTTTGGCGTAGCATTTCATCTGCTTCGCCTTCTCCGTCCACCATGCATTTTTAATGCGACGGAGATCTCGGGTCAGTCGCCTTCGAAGTTTGCGAAACTGACGACTCTTCCCCAAGTCACTGGGGTCTCCCACATTGCATCAAATGCTGCATTCTTCCCCGACACCAATGCGCCAATCGTCGCATTGTTGTCATCAAACCAATCAGGCCGCTTACAGTTTGCGCGCTCGATGGTCTCGGCAGCAGCTGTCACCTGGTCGCGAATGTGGTGTCACAGGTCGCCCCCTGTGGCTATGCCTTCCACATCACACAGGCGTGCAGCCTTCGCCTTCTCTAGCTCAATACGTTTCGCCACAGTACCGAGGAAGAGAATGTTAAATTTACATCGGTTCACGGCTGGAGTGCAATACATAGATTTACGAAAATATATTCACAGTTTGTTCCGCACCAATTTGTGATCAGTGCCACACTCAGCTCCACGCAGTACACGTGTCATGCGCACTTCACGCATATCACGTTGACGTACAATGACATAATCGAGCAGGTGAGCGTGACCACTCCGTGAGTGCGTCCAAGTTGCTATATCACTCGCACTCAGTGCAAACCGAGTGTTCATGATCGTCAGGCAGTGAGTGGCACACAGTGAGAGCAGCCTGTCACCGTTCGCATTCGCTGAAACAATGCCATACGAACCGATAACATCTGTCCACACCGATGCATCACGCCCAACGCGCGCGTTGAAATCACGCAGCAGAAATAGTCGGTCGCTCCTCGGCACAGACCGTATCACGGAGGATAGCTGAGTGTAGAATTGAGCACGCGTGTCATCAGGATAACATATGGTCGGGCCGTATGTGCTTATAAAAGTGGCAAAGTTACCTCTTCCGAGTCCTAGGCGAGCAGTCATCAGTCGCGCACTGATGCCCGTTGGTTCACCCACCAGTTGGCCATAGAGACGATCGGATATTGCAAATCCGACCCCATGATCACGTGGTGCTGAGGCGGCGTTGCCCACCCAGTAGAATGTGTAGCCAGCACCTGCTTCATGCAACTTACCTTGTTCAGCGAGCCGGGTTTCCCTGAGCGCCGCAATATCGATGTTGTAGCGCGCCAGTTCCATCGCGATCAGTGCAGTGCGTCGCTCCGGGCGCTCACTGGAGTTCCGGTCCTTTAGTGTG